AACCTACATAATGTATTTTTACTTTTTTTTTAATTTGTTTTAGATCCGTGAAATGACGAACAAAGACAGAACATACAAGCACGTTGGACACTTGGCTTTTGTGAAATACAAGTGAGTCCTTTAAACTGTTGAAAACACCTTTGACGTCATTAGAGGGGTGAACAGACTCATTTTGAAACTAGAAAGTGTACATAGTATCATACCAACTTGTGTCTATCATACTTCTCTTCAATACGACTTCAATTCAACATCTCGGACCCCTGAAAACAAAAATAAAACACTGAAGTCCTTAAAAAAGGAAACGAAGACCCAAAACACGAACACGAAATCCCCAGAACACGAACACGAAGATCTCAAAACACGAACACGAAGACCCCAAAACACGAACACGAAAACACTAGAACACGAAAACACTAGAACACGAAAACACTAGAACACGAACGCGAAGACCCCAAAACACGAAAACCACGGCTCAACAACAGCAAAATGGATGCTCCAAAAACTGTCGAGCGAGTCAATTATTGAAACATGTTTTGACAGCGCTGTGTTTTCCTGCTTGTGAAACACAGATTTGGAAAATGTTGCATGAGTTTTATTCTTCCGCGATGAATGTCTGCTGATCGGCAGGGGGCGGCTTTACATTTCCAATAAATTTTTCGACAGTGAAAGACGTAATTGGCGGCTCACCATGGCTCGAAAATGGTAATACATGTAAACGAAAACCGCCACAAGCTTTCACTGTGCGAAAGAGAAATAATAACCATTATTTTCTCTTGTAGCGATGCAACCCATCACTTTTTAGAAGGCGAATTTTTTTGGTGAATTCAAAGGAAAGTGAATCTACAATACTGTTAACGGAAGTTCGTTTACCTGCGCTGATTACCCATACCGCTGATTACCTGTGGAAAGTGATTAGCATCTGAAATGTTTCTATATCGAGATCAAATAACACTGGTGTGCAATACTTCATGAGAGGTTATTACAACTTCCGCATGTTTGATGTTCTTTTTTTTAAAGCAAAATCGCGTCAAAACCGATCATAACTTTCAAACGCGCGCAAAATTTTACAAAGGCCAACATTGAGGAACCTCGTTGTGGGGTCTTCGCTCTCCAATCTTCGTACTTGGGGTATTTATTTTCTTCCCTAGCACCTTGCGCTAATTCGAACCAGAATCAGTTTTCCTGGATTTTCATAATCCATTTACTGCCGACTCGAAACGCTCGAAATCGAACCTGTTTTCGTTTCGGAACATTTTCTTTAAATTTTTGACCTTGATAATTTGTACGTGACTTTCGCGGACTACTAAATTTGAACTTGTGGGGCTCACTTCCTCCTGTGGCGTAGATTTTTCTTGCATCTCCCTCATTACTAATGAATAGCATCGTTCTTTTGATAAGAGTTTTAAACGTGCTAGGACTAAAAGTCTGTTCCTATATCTTCCTACACCTATGTTTCACGATGAAATTTGCGTCCTTCTATTTACAGGTCTTCGTACGAAGAACCACGTTGCGAAGAAGGCTTTGAAGAGATTGTTAAAGTAAACTTTGTACCAAGGTTTAAAGACGATCGCGTGAAAGAATTGTACATGCAGTTTCATAACTGAGTTTCAAGTCAAAGTGACCAGGGAGAGTCACATAATTCAAAAACTGAGTGCGTGGCTAACATGTAGGGTTGAGTACGCATACCTAGCGAATCATCTCAGCAGCGCACTTTTACCTATGACTTTTCTGTCAACACATGGACCTTTCAGTGGTTGCAAGAGATTACAAACTGATCTCTTGGTGGTAGTTCATGGCGTATTTCTAACGACTTTCGGCTGATTTCCCTGGCTTTTCACTGTTTTTCCTTTTGGTAAAAATCACGAGGCGAAAAAGGGAAGTAAAGGTTACTTTATCAAAACAGCTTTTAATCGTTAATGATCGTTCTAGTGATTCGTAACAAGTTTCTAAATTGTCGAAATAATGAAAGATGCGCTAGCGTCTGCGAAGAAAAATATTACAGAGAGAAAATATTGACACAAACATAACCGACCAGCTGATCTGAAATGAAGCTACGATGGGTTCGCATCCCCAGTTCATCTATGGCTAACAGTTTTCAGGCTGTTGCTGTCGTTTTTCTTTTCGTATACCTGTCAACTTTCGTGATGTGCTAACGAGCTTAGTAAACACCCCTTGCGTTTGGAACAAGGGTGCTTGCTCTTCTGGCTAATTCAGTTAATAAACGACAACACGGTCCGATTCAATTTTAACAGTTAGGTCTAAGATAGCGAAGATCAGCCGCTGAAAGAGGCTTAAATTTGATATTCGTGGATCGTGTAAAGGATCCAGTCGTATCTATTGCCCTAACTAGTGGAGAAGAACTTTCTGGTTTTTAAGTTTCTTTGAGAAATCTTCCATTAGGAAATTTAGGAAGAAAATCAAATCAATCACATGTAGTGCAGGACGGTTAAACGTGTAGAAACTATCTTTGGCAAGTCAGATGGGAAAGGCAATTACGATACAAATTTTGGCTGATGCAATTTTAAGTGGCGAAAAGGAAAGGTGAGGACGATCTTGTTGGATTGTTGGGGTTAATTAGCTTGAGTAATTAGCGCAAACGGGAGGCACGAGGAGTCCGATCAGCAACTTTTATTAACTCTGCCTAAAGACTCTTAATGGCTCTTCATCGGAAGGACTAAATCTCCGTGTCTCTACTTTAGCCTTGTGGCTACCGTTTCGTTTCCGATTCACGTGACATTTCCTAAAGGATTTTTCGTTTGCGCTTGCAGTTTGTAGTTGGCGTCGAATATGACAGTAGGCATGCCTGTGCTCACGGGACATGACGTTGGCAGAGTAAATATATTTTTAACCCACAATAACATAAGGAATTCGAAATATACAAAGTACTTAAAAAAACTCTTAATCCTCGAGAACTAAAAGCTTAGCAAAACTTCCTGTGAAGGACTCGAAGTAAGGTCAATGACAGATCACTCAAAAGGTAAAAATAAATGTGTGGTCTTGCAGCACAGAACAAACCAAGGCTCACAAGACTCGCATAAGGATTTAAAGATAATCTAACAGGCCTAAACAATTTCCAAACACTTAGCCAGAACATTCCTAATTTCGTAGTTCCCAAGTACCTCTAATTTTCGTAGTTTATAACAATTTACAGGCAAATAATGTACATTGGTACGGGGAAATTTCAGTTAAAAATCAGACTGGTAATAGGCTGTTTTGAAGCTCGATATCTCAGCATTTCAAAATTCGAAACGAGAGAAACGTGTATTTATCGTCTTTTATATATTTCTCGTTTTTATTTATTCGTTCTTTATTTATTTGTCTGTAAACGTGTCAAGTTCAACTTTTGACCGGGCATTACGCAGGTAATAATGAAATTAGTGCTCAAGGCTATGGGCTCTTCTTTTCTTAGTTCCGATTCATTTACATCTTATCGGAAACTGTGGAAACTAATGTGAGAAGTGTGCTGTCGATATTTGCTTCGTAGTGAGACTCAAAATCAAATAATTCCAGAAGTCGTAATCCTAATCGCACTCCTCCTCATACCAAACGAGAAATCCACAATTTTTGAATTCGCCACGTTCTTCCATGTGGACGATCAGTTTAGCTGAAATCACCCTTTTTTTTTTTTCATGGTAACCATGTTAGCAACAAATATGTTTTGAAGTACTTCACCAAGTACATTTGGGTCACAAAGTCGGGGGAACTAGCTGCGGACCGCACCACGCTCAGTGAAAGGCTCCAAGGACTCTCAAACTGTCCTGAACTGTATTTCTGTAATCTCTCGGTTCTGTTATACACAACTGATTAATTCTGCTTACATCTAGTTTTACTTCATTCTATGTAACTCTGGTTAATATCTTAGACACCACACTTTCATTCTCACAGAAGAGTTCTCATTGACTAACTCACCTCTACTATTGAATCCTATCTACTAAGAAAGTTCTAAAGTACATGCTTATATATTTGCTATCGGTGGGGATGGGTGGGCATGCTAACTGAGTGGCCTTGGAAGATATACATTTATTGTTAGAACATTAACCCAAACTTACATAAATCTCGCAAATTAACAACGATACACTTAGTGGTTCCGATCCACCGTGTCAACCTCTGACTGCGAAAGGTCTGAAAGAGTCTTGGCGCCTGATAGGTCGCAACGGGCAATGCTATCGTTGAGCTGTTTCGACTAGTCAGAAGTTATAACGATACATTTCCTCTTTTTTTCTCTTTTGATCAGGATCGATAATGCTAAATTGTTGAGATGAAAGCGAGCTCCACGCGTCACCATAACACCAAAACAAATAATTTATACAGTGTCTTAATTCGTCTCCACTGGTTGTCTCGCGGTCCTTTTACAACCACGTGAGACATTAGACACTCTTGAAAATATTGACAGTCTTCATTGTTAGCTAAAATTTGCATATTACTACTTTCATCATAATTTGTACGCAAATGATCATAAACTGACCATGATAGTATTGAATGATTACCATTCTGCTATACTTTTGGTTGGAGTTATGGTAATTAGCTCAAAGATTTCAGGTAAGAATGTTCATTAATTTGAATGACGAAGCACACCGCATATCATTGTTAAGTCGTAACATTCCAATTAGGTCTCTTCTTATTCACGGTCGCATGGATAAACCTTCGTAATTGTTTCCACCGTGAAGTTAGGAAAGTCCTTGCTGCAAGAGGAGAGGGAATAAGAAAAGGACAGAGTAAAAAGTAGTTATTTTCCATGATAATTATAACTATACTATATTATTAAATCTGTTTTTACGAAGGGTAAAATCCACGCTATTTACATGTGTTCGACGTTTTATCATCACTTGATCATTTTTTTTTTGGTCGCGAACACGTTTTAACTTGCTCTATTTTCCTTTTTTTTTTTTTAATTGATATGAAGATGGTAGAGCACGCAATTTCCCAAGGAGTTTATTTTTCATAGATTAAAAATGAATTCTGGATTTGGGTTAAATGGTATCCTCTTTGCGCCTAACTGAATTAATTTTACTTGGACGACCACAGTAGTAAATAAACGATAGCACTATTTGCTAAGAATAAATTAGGTTCCCCGAGATATTACTTTCTTGTTATGAACTAGGATGAAGTGAAAATCTGTGAAGTATTTGAAGTGTCGCAATTTACCTCAATCGCTCCAACTGAAGAATACTGTTCCCTACTAAGATTTGGGTCTTTTGATAATTGTATTATACTGACTGTTTAACTCGTCGTGTGATTTAGCCGATCGGTGCGATTAAAAGCTATTTCTTCTCGTCTTTTTCAGACGTCACACTTTAAAAGAACTTTCTCTTGTAACATATCTGGTTTGTGTCTATTTATATGGGACCATAGGGGAACTCGAACTTAGCCGGGAAATTTAAATTTCAAGCGAAGGTTGCTTGAAGCGTGAGGTAGAATGTAATGGAAAACATTTATTTGGACAGTCTCCGATAGAATATCAGGATTTCTCTTGTTTAGTATTGATGCAAAATTCCATCAAATTGCTTTTGCCATTCTGTGTTCTCACACATCTGAAATCATTTTCTCGCCTGATCTAGTCTTATTTTGTTGGATACCTTGATTGGGGTAAAACCCAACATTTAACTGATGTGTCTCTTACATTCTTTTTATCCATCTTGGCGCGTGGTTTGCGTGATTGAAAGAACTTAATACATCTTGCAACAGGTCTTTCTGACTATTATCATCGCTGGCTCGGACCCGCAAACCAACAGGTGTAACTGTGTCGAATTAAGCAATAGAATATATTTCAGTGTTGCTTGTGCAGGTTTATCTGTCACGATAGCTGCTTTGATTAACAAGGTAATTCCCCTCTCTACGGGATTGATGGCATTTCATTGAATGCTCCGTGACAGGCAACAGAATGAGCGGATCATAACGAAAATAAGTGAAAAGGAATGATTTGCAAACACTTTCGTTTCTTATTTACTTTGAGCTAAATTGTTTCCCTAGGTACCTCTCAGTCACCATCAGGTATCATTGTTGAAGCAGTACAGGGTTCGGATTTTGTCATAATATCATGGAAATATCAAGAAAGCGCTAAGTTTTACAGAATCTTCTTCAAAGGATTTAATTCAATGCAGGGAAACTCAAACAGTCCACCACACGAGGTCGGTCCAATGCAAGTCTACTGTTTGGCGGATAACACTACATGTAGTTATTGTGTGTCAAACAGTGACAGGGATGTCTCGTGTAACAAATTTAACAAAAATTATGGGGCACCTTTGCTTGAGAGTAAACTGGAATACGAGGAGCCCGTGAGCATAAAAGTTGAAGCTTGTACTCATGTATACCCTGACTCATGCCAGAGTCATAATGAGTGGATCAATTATACAATTCCAGCTGGAGGTAATTGGGTTAAATTTGATCTGTCACCTTTACGACATCTCTAGTTTTACCTGAAAACTGTCGTACGAATATCACTTAAAAAGGTTAAATAGCTACCTCATCTTCACCATAAATCATCACATTATTGTTAACTTCAGTTTTTAAGATAAGAAATTCTATTTGAAATTCCTCCGAGCCGTTCTACGCAGTTTTAAGGGTATCGTTATCATAATCTGTTTTGATATGATGAAGAGAGGTTTGGCAATCCGAGCTTACTGGCACCCCTCAAACACAACAAAACTAACCCTCAATTGAAAAAATGAAATGTTAAACGAACTGTTTCTTCTTAATTTCGAGTTAACATGCATTTACATTCGCTCTATATGAGGACGACGACGATGATGATGTAGGCCAACGCAACATAGGAAACCTTAATTCTTCTTCCTTTTCTTGACCTTCCTTGTCAGACTGACTAAACACCTTTTATTCCCCTAAGCACCCAGTGCAGTGAGGGATGTACACGCAAGGCCATTATCATCCAAAACGGTCGAAGTCACGTGGTTTCCCCCTTATCAAACAAGAGGAACTATTGTAATGTACACTATATTGTACAAAACTGATCACGTAAGTTGAACTCTGTTTTTTTCACTAGCTTATTCAGTGAAAAATAAGATCGCAGAAAGCAGGCATTTTATCAAAAATTTTGAGAAAAGCATAAACTTCCCTTACATGTGTAAGGCGAATGAACACTTGAAAGGATTCCCTTTACTGTCTCCACATTACAGGCATCACTTTGACTAACGTATATTGAGATACAGGTTCCCTTTCGTTCTTAACAATTGTATGTAGCCGGTGGGAGCAAAGGAAGACATTCAGTACAGGGACAGTTAATATTAATCATTCAAAACTGACTTCTTTTGCTCTGCTCTAGGTCCGTTTACAGTATTTTCTCCCCTACTGTGCACGCTTGAATCACCGAAACTAATGTTGCTTCTTGTTAGCTAGTGTTTTCACGAAACTTTCCAGTTGAGTACTTGACAACGTCACTTTTTTAATGCAAGTTGGGGGGACATCGTATAGCCGAATAGCTTAGTAACAGCCTCAAGCCAAAATTAACAGGGAGACCAAGCTGCTGCTAGCCGAGTGCAACTTTTGATTTACATTATCTGAAATGGTAGCATGAGGATAGCTACTGTAATTTTGGAGCACTACCTTTTATTTATTTCTGTAGAGACATGCTCAGGCGTGCATGCAGTGGCGCAGATGGCACAAATGACGAAATTAGCAAATTTCTCTAGAGTTCGATATAATCATTAAATAAAGCAAATATTTTTGTTGTCTCCAATTCAGGTCATATGTGTTTTTAAAGTTTAAGTTAATTCAGTTTCAAATGAAGAGGTGGATGTTACATATTTTGGTATAGGGTATGAAAATGGGCGAAGAATTCAGACGTGTATCAAGAGCAATTATCACGGGCTTGAGTGCAAAAACGACTTACAGTGTTTGGATGACAGCCTCTACGGCCAGGAAAGAAGGCGCAAAATCCAATATCATCACTGTTCAAACATGTAAGAAAATACTGAAATCTTCCACCTGTTTATATATTCGTTCATCTGAGTCTGAAATCCCTTTCCGTGAAGCATGGACAGGAAACCCAAAAATGTCTGACGGAAAGTCTGTTCACGACTTTCGTGTAAGCTCATTCGCTTAAGCTGATGGCGTGCCGTCTTAAGAAAATTTTGAATTGTTGCTGTGATTAGTTTTTTAATAGATTACGAACAACGCAAGACTAGTTTACCTTTATGTAATATCAAGGCGTTGTTATGGACGAGGAGTGGATAGTGTTGTTTTATTTCTTGCATCTATTTTCCTTTAGATGAAGACGAATGTGTGTCTAATCCTTGTCAGCATCATGGAAAATGTCACGTGGATGGCATGTCCTATTTGTGTAATTGTTTAAGAGCCTGGGAAGGAGCAAACTGTGAAAGTAAGTGAAAAGTACTTAGATTTTATGATCAGTTGCAAGTGGTGATTTTTGACATGAAGGTGACTCAGTCTTTAACTCCCAGCACCTACCTCAGTTCAAAAGAGAACTTGACTAAAATCTGCTTTTCAGTGTAATTTTTCCACCCTTACCAAAGGTGTTCAAAGGTGTTATAAACCCCATCAAACTGACGTCATTTTACTGCAGGTGAGAGACAAAAAATGCCTCTTTGACTTAAACTTAACCAAGAATTCGTTAATATTGACAAAGCGATGGAGCCCTGGCAGGTAAAAAATAAGAGGACACAAAAAGGCTTACTTAATTCTACCAAAAGTCTGTTAGGTCTACTCCTGTGTTATTATTAAAACTGCAGTCTTTATTTGTTTCCTGTCCTCAAAAATTGTTGTCTTATTTCAAATGTGAATAATGTTCGGTATTTTGAAGACCATTTCAGAGACAGGTCTCTTGTATCCTTGACTTTTGAGCACAAAGTTTTTGGTTTGCATTTATTCACATTTTACGTATTATTCATGATATGTATATATTCTTTTGCAGTTCCTGAAAGTTTTGTTATGCAGAAAAACCTCTGTATCGACACAGGAGGAGGAAACAAGCTTCCTTTTCAAACAAATGTTTCCTTGGAGTTTTGCTCCGGAAAGTGTAGAGAGAATTTAAGGTAAGGGGAATGTGCAAATACACCCACACACACCCACACAAACACCTATTAAAGGGAGTCCTCTGAAGGTAGCCTAAGAACATTTGCTTTTGAGAACGTATAACGCTAGCAATGAAAAACACCTATCTGTTTGTGTACCACCGAACATATTGTACGTAAGTTGTTTCACTTATCCCAAATAGCTTTAGTGTATGAATTTTAAAGAAGGAGAGTTGAAACTCATCAAACCCAAAGGCGACCAGAAGTTTAATTAAATAGTTTGAACTAATCGAGTCCAGAAAGCATCTGGAATAAAGAAAAGTTTCCATTTCAAAAAACTATACCATTCCAACTACTTGCGTGAAGATCAGAAACTCCTCTGTAATTTTCTTTCTCACGAGATGTACCTTTCTTGTGTTCAATCAGCTGTAAATCGTTTGAATATGGACTGGGATATGGAAATAATGGAACATTCGTTAAATCTCTTCGTCGACATGGTCTTGGAATATGCAAAATGCAAGGAGTGGACGCGACAGAGAGAGTCCTTATCGCTTGTAACTATGACTACTATGAGAAGAGAACTCCTGTATCAGCAGGTTCAATATCTTCTTTGCCATATAAGGCGCTTATAACAACTTTAGCGTTAATGTTTCTTCTCCAGAAATAGCAGGGGGCGCAAAATTTACAATCAGCGCCAGCTTTAATGTAAATAATGCACCGTGATGTACAAAACAGATTATATACTCCTGAATGTAACTGAATGGATTACATGTACCGCATGAGCCCAGCTAAAAGCTCTTCCAATGGTCTTGACTTATCTATCACAGTAGTTCAAGTTATGTCCTCTTTGGTGAGAGTTCTTCTCTTTACGCTTTACATACTGTTCTTAATAATGTACATGAAAAAAATACGTGCTTCTTATCAGCTGAAAACGAGTGCATTGTCATGCAACACGAGTGCAAATTACAAATAGCGCGTGCACGCTTCCAAAATTTCATCTGTCTTGACCTTCTGCGATGTCTTTTCATGTACATTATTAACAAGTAGTAACATGATTTCGAGTGCAATTTGGTGTACGCGACCACGGTAAAAAGTAGTCATCAGTTGTTACCACTATCCTTTTCAGATCAAGGATGACCTAAACATGTACAAAAAGAACATGCTACAAGCAATCATTACCTTCTTTTAGGGAAGTTTCTTTCATTATTATTTGTTTAAGAAAGGAAAACAGTCTTAAAGGGGGGTAAATTTCTGGGGAAACTGTGGTGCTGCGTCGGTGTGGGAGTGTAATAAGATAATGTGTTTAACAAATGAGTTCATGATGTAAGTTGGCCACCGCTGGCCACCGTGAAGAGTTCGTCAGAGAAAAGAGTTTAGAGTTACTTAATATTTGATATAGTTCTTACGTTCTAAACTGACTTTTTTATTTCTTTCACTATCAAATATACTTACTTAAGGAAGATAATAGTTCTTCGTTGGTTGAGGGCGACAAATTACAACATTTCATGTTTTTGTTTTCAAAGTCAATTTATCTGTTGTTGTTAGTCAGTCATGTAAATTGTTCAGTCCAGCATTGATCGTCTGTTCTGAAGACTTGAGGTCCTTGTCAACGTAAAGAATATAAGTGTCATTCGCAAATAAGGAAAATTTAATTTTATTTGAACATAAGTAAATGTCATTTAGATAATACGACTGGAACTACTCGGTAATAATTCCCCATAAACCATAAAAATTTTGTTTATCAAGTAGTATTTTGTGATTGACAGTGCCAAAAGCCTTTTTTAAATCAATGGTAATACCACATGTAATGCTTACCTGTATTGTTCTGCATAGTTTTAACAGTATCAAGGATCACATGATTTAAGGAGTGTGTCTCACGGAAGCCATATCATGAGGAATGTTTTATCGTGTTTATGCCAATAAATTCCTTCATTCTTTAATACAGTAGCTTTTCAAAAATTGACTTGCAATTTGAAAAGAGAGAAATCGGTCGGTAATTAGAAGCATCAGTCTGTTCCTCACTTTTTAAGGTAAGTGTAATTTTGTGAGATCTTAAATTTGAAGGGTGGACACCAAACGTAAGAGAAGTTTTAAAAATTTTCGACTGGACAGGAGATAAAATGTCGCATGAGCATTTAAGACATTGGGCAGGAAAAGAGTACAAACCATATGATTTGTTGTTTGGTAGTAATAAAACGTCGCATTGCCTCAGGACGTCATCTGGGGCAATGGGCCGGTTAAAAAAAAAGAAAGAATCAGGTGATTTTAATAATTGAGATAATCCATATGATTACTTTTCGTAGTAGTTTACTTGCTAGTTTGGTGCTCACACTTGCGAAATGTTCATAAAGAATGCTTGGTATGTGTGATGGGTCACTAATGACTTGACTGTTATTATTTGGGTCTCAGTATAATGTGGTTCTCATTTTATGATATCTGTTTTGGTGGTTTAATCATTCATTGGTTCCTTACCACGTTTTTTTTTTCATATTATATTTACCTTTTTAATAAACAATCAAAGTTATATTGCTTTTGCTTAATCCCTTTGATTTAAAAGTGTCTTTAAAGCGGAACCACTCAAATAAAACATGTTCATTTCCCGGAATCCGTTCCAGAAGTATTCTGATCAGCAAGTTTAAAAAAAAAAAAGCGTTTTTATCATTCTTTCGCAGAGTTCTGAGAATTTCGCACACGTTAGTTTAGTAATCTTGGGCTGTGTATTTTCACTTGATTCAGGCTTCATTGTTGCTAATTCAGCATTACACGTTCCGTTGTACGATCCACCTATTGTATTCCAATTTAACTCAAGGTTGCAAAAAGTGCTTCATCTGTTAGCTAGGGAAATCCTCAGCTACTTAATTCCGTGTGGGATTCAAGGCTTGCTCACGTTCTACAACGGTTCGTGGGCACTAATTTCCTATTAAACATGGGTTGTGTTCCTACGCACTTAAGTTGCTTAACGCCCTGGAAATACTTAATTAGATATATCACTGTTCGCAGGACTCACTTTATTATCCTTTACCTCTTCCTACTTTAACGGTGACGTTAATAATTCACTTAAACGGTACAAAAATTTTACTAAACGGTAACGAAATTATAACTTACTAGATACACAATTAAAATATAATAAATAAAGGAAATCAGTTTTGAGCGTAGAAACGCTTCAAGGCATTCTTCCCCCTTTGACTCGTCTACGAGTGAAGTATTTTAAGTTTGTGTTTCATCGCGCATCTGCTGCTGCAGCGGGTCTAGGGTTACTCCTAGGACCTTCTCGACTCTCTCGAGCACTTTCCCGTGGTACTTTGGATGGGGTCTCGCTTCGCACTTCAACGGGGTAGAGTTTTTTAAGGAGTCTGGACATGCGTAAGGACTTCTCTTTAGCAATGACTCGAATGTTTGCACCCTTAACTACGTCATCTTTACCTTTGACGAGACTCTCTATAACTGCCGTTCTCCACTCTAAACGCTTCTTATTCTCGTCGAAAACTGTGACTACATCTCCACTCCCTGCGCTCTTTGCATTTTTACCTGCCTTACTTGCGTAAGTTAGCCATGTACTCACGGCTCCACCGATTCCAAAAATGTGTTAATCTAACGCTCAAATATGTAAATCTTTGAGTGTATCTACTCTCATCTTCTTCGCCTTCAACAATTCCTACAACAGGAATTGTCTTGATTCTTCTCCTGAAGATCAAGTGCGATGGAGTCAGAACTTCTTTGCCAACTTCGTCGAACACGTAAGTGGATGGGAGTTCAAGGTCTCTTCCACTTCGATTAACATGGTAGACAAAACGTCGAGGTAGCCTTGCATCACCCAACACCTTTCTCAGACGACGCTCCACACATCGAAAAACCCACCCCACCTTTGAGGGGCCCGCTTTGAACTAAACTTCCATTCGTCTTTTGCCGAACGACTCTTTTTTGCCTGAATTATTTTCGGTCCCTCCATGTGCAAATTCTGAGCTCACAAACTCTCACTTTCAAACTAAAGTAATGTGCAGAACCCTTTCGGTGGAAATGCGTATTATTTCAACGGTGACGAGGATGAAAAAATCACTTTCTTATCAGAGGATCTGCAGGGTTTCGCGCCTTTGAAAACCTCGGAAATGGCCGACAGAGTCCACCACAATCTTGAAATAATACATTCTTGTATCATTGGATTTCTAAATGCTCTTCACCGGAACGTTAATTTGTCAACATTTGAAAGTGTAATCTCCTAGGTAGGTCACCCCCATCAGTTCATTGAATCCTGAACTGGGTAGCCTGGACTCAGTCGTTAATTAACACCAACCATGAATAAGAAATTGATCCTTTTCCCAAAAAACCTTAGTCTAAGAATTAACATTAAAGTAAACAGATTAATGAGGTTATCAAATAGTGAAATGAATGGACTGGCCGTTTAAATGAAAACATATGATCATGAGGCTGACCTCCACTTTAATCACAGTGCATCTAAAATTACGTTTGCTCATTCCAAGTGCATACAATAATTTAAGAATGAAATTATCTTCCTTCGTCACAATGTACACTCTTTAATATACATTATTCCTAGTTTTGAAGTGTAGAATTCTGTTGTAGAGTTATCCAAAGATGCTTCTTCAAAGCTCGTTGTATCTAAAGTACCTTTCTTTGATCATGCTAATAAACTTTTCTAAAAAAATTTGCTCACAAAATTCTATCAGTGAAAGTTAAAGAGACCAAGATTTTTTCTTTTTTCTTTTTCCTGAGCAATTATGAAAGTTACACCTTTCATTAATCAGTAGATCTTGAACTATTTTGTTACTAAAAGAGACTTTAGGTTGAAGGACCATACAGTTGAAACTGGCTTTACCCTTAAAGGGGGAACCAAAATGGCAAAATTTCCTCTTTGACAGATAATTCAATCTGTTCCAAGAAATTATTTACATTTGTGAATATAAGTGTTTAAAGAGATGCATGTCAATCATAACTCCTTCCTGTACTGTCCAACCAGACGAAGACGGGGATAAATCTGTGGATCAGTTCCCTTAGGAATGGCTGTCTGACTGAGACTGAAATAGGGTGCAGAAAGAAAATAAATTAGACCATATTCTTTGACAATAAAAATAAATCAATATTGCACTCAATTGAAATCTATACACATGCAAACTTGCCCCTCAAAAATACTTGCAGTGAAAGGCTTTCTGCATTTTTGCAGCTTAACACACTTATCAAACTTCCCTGAAAACATTTAGCAATAGAAAGAGGTGGAATGGAAAAGAAATGAAAATTAAAATCTCATTTGAAACCTGAATCTTTGCTTGGATATCAAAAATGGAAGCGCAGTCAAACCTGTATCAAGCAGTCACCCAAGGAGAATGGTGGGATGACTGCTCAATACAGGTTCCAGTTCTCTGATAGAAAACTCCACTCAACCCTTTGACTCCCAAGATCTCATTAGCAATTCTCCTTACTGTCTGCCATAAAATACATGTACTTATGATTTTGATTTGGAGAATTTGGTATTGGATCAACATGTAGTTCCCTAATTGAGTTTTCCTCTTTATTCTCATCACTTGTATGCTTGATACTGCATTGATAATGTAAGGAGAAATTATCTCTTGGTCACTCATGGGAACTAAAGGGTTAATGTACAAACCCTTGCTTAAAAGTACTTCAAACATTGATTTCAGGAAAGAAATATGGATTAAATTTAACTTGAAAGATTCTTCTCTGATCAATTTTAGTGGTTCCCCTAAAAGTGACTATTCAATACAGGTGGAAAACAATGCAAACAGGCCCTTGGGACTCAGTAAAGGGTAACCATGGCTGCATAATAGAGGTAAAAATTACAATAACTTTCGGACTTTGAAGACCTACCACTTAATACAGAGTGACTGCTTAATACAATACCCCTCACTAGTAATGCAGGTTTGACTGTACTTACTAAATTCCCTCCAGTGAAGCATGTGAATGTGCACTTGTCATAAGCAGCTTAAATGTTTCTTCCTTAAGGGCTACATAACATTTGAGGTATTTGTCATCAGCAAATGTAACTGACTGTCTCCATTTTTCCAGGTATTTGAGACCTGATAATCCACAAAAGAAACAAAATAAATTATATTAACCCTATGAAATATTGATAAATAGTTGTGCAAAAAACAGATGGTACAAGTTAGTTTGTTTGGTGAAACATGATGGAAATAATTATAACACTCTGTATCAAACTCAGTAGGCTATCACAGTGTGCAACAAGCTACGATTTATTTTGCTAGGCCTGAGTTACTTGGTAGCTCTTTACAAGACCACTGTGTAACTTCCTCTTTCAGCCAAAAGTTTTTGAGAATGAACAAGAACATTCACTCAACCAATCAGTTAAAAAATGCAATCTTGATACATGTGAATCATCTGAGCACACTGACAAGAAAATTTATACAATAATGGACCAGGGAACTCATCTTAATGCCTAGGGGATATACTCAGTGCAGTAGACCTTAGTTAAAATGAGAAATCAATATCACTAGATCAATGTTAGCATTGGTGAATTTTATAAGCTTGGATTCAACTGTAGATAATATTCATGCAATAATCACTAACAAACCCAAAAAAATTTTAGCAACCACCAGTCCTGTTTTATTTACCGTATCCCCTCGTTAAATTTTTTTTTATTCTCATCACTTGTCTGTTTGATATTGTACTGAAATTGAAAGGAGAAATTCTGTCTTGATCACTCATGGGAATTAAGGAGTAAAGTTGCTACATGAAAATTTGTTACCTGGAAATAATTTGGTCGCAGGACTGAACTCCAAAGACCTGGCAGTTTCTGTAGGTTGATCTGAAGGATGCTGTGCCACAGGACTCCAAAGGTACAGATGCCTCAGTTTTGGCAATTCACATAACTTTGTGCCAAGTTCAGAAATTCCTTCTTCACTGAGCAGGTTGCCCTTAAAATCAAGGCACTTCAATGACGAGAAAGATTTAAATGAGGTAAAAAGTGCATTTAAACCTGCTTCAGTGATGTTGTTGTATCCCAGACACAGTTCTTTCATTTGGCAAATGTAGGGAGCAACAGTTGCTAATGCTGCAACACCAACATCCGAAATGCAATTAGACTTCAATGATAGTTTGCATAGATAAGGTGTACAATTGAAGCCCTCACTAAGAGTCACAAGTCCCTTGCATGTGATCTGATTTTTGTCTAGAAGCAGTTCTGAGAGGCCAGGTACACAGGGAAGGGCACTTGCCAAACTTTCAGCACCTTCATCTTGAAAGGCATTGCCAGATAAGTCTAAATGGACAAGCCTTGGGGTCTTTCTAACACAGTCTCCAACAAACTTTCCTTGATGTAGCAAGTTTGCAGAAAGATCCAACTTTGTCAATTTTGGGCAGTGTGCAAAGGCTTCACCAAGGACTGTAAAAATGATTCTAGAAGTCTCACTAGCAACATCTGTCTTCCGATTTACATCATGAAGGGATAGATTTTCCAGATGAGGGACCTTGGGCAGTCCAGCTGTCAGTGCCTTTACACCCTCAGCTCCAAGGTCGATGTTGTTTTCAAGGCTTAAACTGGTCAGGGTGGCAGTACAAGACAACTTCTTTGACAAGTATGCCACACTGATCTGGGTTAACTTACAGCCACTCAGATCCAGAGATTTCAAATTAGGGACAAACTTCAGGGCATCAATGACATCTTTCATGTCTTCATCTCCAAGTCCACTGTAGCTCAAATCAAGATGAAGCAGGTTTGGACAGGACTTCATAATTAATGCAAAGTCATCGCCAATATCTCGCCTAGATGCATTTCCACTGAACACAAACCTCTCCAAAGGAAGGTTGGGGGACAAATTCCTGCTGAAGGCTTCTACCACACCATCCCCTACAATGTTCTGATTGAAGCACAATTCTCTCAGAGAAGGCATTTGTGAAAGAGAATTTGCAAAAAAGGCAGCAGTCTGCTTTTCTAGCTGACTGTGTTCTAGAACAAATGAGTTGAGGTCAGGGTTGTTTTGCATGAAATATGTCATAGCTCGCACACCATAAGGACTGATATCACGACCAGATAACTTCAAGATTCCATCAAGAAGAGTTGCCCCCAATTTACTGGCAAGGTGGCCCTGGTGGGACTCAAACAGAGCAAGAACAAACATTTCAAGGAAGTCATTTGCTTCACAAGAGTCAGAAGTGTTGATGGTTTCTTTGAGATTTTCAAGCAAGGGTACAAACACAATCTCAAAGTTGTCCCCAACAAGCCCAGAAACAAAATTTAGTAGAAGAGAGTCAGAGACTTTTGTAACACATTTCAAGGTTAGAGAAAGGACTTTCTTCAATCTTAATGGATCATTTGCAGTGCAATTAATTTCACGACTTAGCCACAATCCTGCCATATACTCTTGGAAAGACTTGTGAACAAAGCAGCACTTCTGCACTGGCTTCAGTCTGGAAGTGCTTGTCTCCTGTGACAACAAACCAAGTTCAAAGACAGTTTTGTTAGATAACTTCTTCTCCAATGCTTGCACATCAAACAGGAGATTGTCTTCAAGTAAAGCATTCAAAGAAATCTCTCCTAGAACTAGCAGGTCATTATAAAGATCCTTGGGGATATCTTCCAAGTCAGTGAACACCCCATCTTTAGCCTCACCACCTGCAGCATTCTTGGCAAAGTATCGCTTTACCATGAGTAAAATTAGCTCTGTAAAAAGAGTTGTAAGTGTAGACAGAGCTTCAAAGGCAGTGTCTGGGGCATCCTCCCACAGAGCACATATCAGCATGGCTGTCAAGGGAACCTTTGCAATGTCCTCAATGACTGGATGTGTTTCCAGTTCAGACAACAACAGCTCAGCAGTACTAGCATCATCTTGAAAATATTTTAGCACATAGCTTCTAATGTTTTCAGTGGTGAATCCTGTAATAACCAATCGTGTGTCCATCATTCGTTGGATATGTGTGGTTTTACCTGGCCTTGATGTGAGAACAACACAGGAATTTCGAAAAATTCTTCCACTCAGAATGTCTTGGAGGTGAGTCAGGCATGACAAGTTTGCTTCATCAAAACCATCTAGAAGAAAAAGGACTTCTCTCTGATGGGAAGCAAGGTAACTAAGCAATTGAGACACTGGAATGGGAAAATCAGAAGGAAACAACTGCTGGATGATAGCGTCCTTGAAACTTCCCTTTATTTGCTTCAGCTCGATGAGAATTACAACTGTGAACGGCAGTACCTTGCCATCACACCTAGACCAATCATGAGCAATCTTACACAGAAATGTGCTCTTTCCTACACCTGCTTCACCTTCCACCAGTATTCGTCTTGGTTTAGAACATCCAGGGCGACTACAAAACATCATGGGGTAAGAATCCAAGGGATTTTGAATACACCTTCTACCCTGTGACACCAATGATATGATTTCCAAATTGGTGTAAATGTGGTCTATGTGAATCTGGAATGAGTCATTCCAGGAGATTGGCTGAATCCAACCGATGTTTTTTTGATAATGATCCCATAGGGATTCTTGCATATGATGTAAAACTGCATCACCTGATTTGTTCTTCACTAAAAAAAAAATAAAAAATTACAAAACATAACTAATTAAAAGAACAAATCGGAATACAATCATTACCATTACAATTTCCTCAAAGGTGAATGGTGCAGACTAGCTGCTTTATTTTTCATTAATCATTTTGTAGAGTTGTAATCAGACTGTGTAATTAGACAGTTGACTGTAATTGGACAGTTGAAGCAGCCAAACATACTTAGTCCTTTCAGTCAAATCCACCAATCACAGAATTGATCACAATAACCATAGCAACAACCACTTATCCTAAAAAAGTTGTGGAATTTCCAAAGTTGAGGAATTTTTAGACATTGTCTCTACTATATGTGTTTGTTCTAAATGTATTTGTTGTTGTTGTTGGACATTGTAACAGTCATGATTAATTGGTTAAAGGACTTTATATCATCCAATTCTGTCTTAAGTCATACTCGTGATTGATAATTCAGCCTCCTGCTTCGCAGTTGTCTGATTTTGTTAATCACTTGTATGATTACAGACCAAATTGGACTCCACTCGGTACTATTACTATTATTAACTGAGACATCATAGTTATCCATTTAGACGAGTTATTCATGGCTGATAGACAATAAATGAAGCGAAAACGTTTGAAACACAGGGGAACAGAGCAAATGCTACCAAAGGTCTGAAGTGCAATTCCTTATGGGGACTCAGAATCTTTTCTTTGTCCCAACCTCACGACAAGATAAAAAAATGTCTTTCTCCAATGCTATTGTTGTCAGCCATAGCTTTGCAGGTATGAAACTGTTGACTTCAATTGGAAGCCTGGACAGCCCCCTTGCTAGTCAGTTAGTGTATATGATATATAACTGTGCTTTGCATATTAAACAAAAAAGTCAAAATTTAAACCTCATTTTACTCAATTTGAGTTTCTTATGTATGCACAAATCAGAGATGTTTGAATGTTTCGATAAGTTTATTTTAGTTTATGCATTTTTTTTTCAGTACCCATTGTACTCATAAAATGAAAAAAAAAAACATGCATTTGTAGCATAGCCTCTTTCTTGTCTCAGTCTGGAAAACCAATCATGATAGATACCGTACAACTTTTCTTCTCGGCCGAATACTCAACCTGTTTCTCCATTTATTCAATCTAACAACAGGTCAGCAAAGTGAAAAGAATATCGTGATTTTTGCCCTCTTAAAGTATGGATCAAAAGGCTTAATAGCGAATTATAATCATACTAAACGTGGTTAGCAAATTGGGCTGCGAGAACCCAACTACATGAAGGCGCAGTGTACTAATACAAGAAATTTCCGTAAATCGTTACTTAGTAATTTTCAACGTAATTACAAATGGCAGCTGTACTTCCCACAAATTTGATGACTGTTCAACAAAAAGACTACAATTAGAAAGGTGAAATCTAGCTTACTAACCTTTAACACCGTGTAATTCATCTTTGAGATCAAAGCGATTTATCTCGGATAACAGTTCTGCCAAAAGCTCCGTATTTCCTTCACTCAATAGGTTCCTGTTTTCTAGCTCATCGAACAATTCAAGCGGGCGGGCAATCTTCTCCAAAACACCGACAGGAATATGCTGTTTACAAACAAACTTTAACTGACCCAGTTCGTCGTTTGTTATTCCATTTGAGACAGAGAGAAGCCTGGCTCGAAACTGATCCATCACTATTCTGCCAGAAGTAGACGGAATTTGGAAATCCCAGCGTTTACTGTACTCGTAGAAGTTCACAATTTTAATACAAGCCAAAGTTACATCGTCTTTCTGTCATCTTCGAAGACACTTTACTTTGCAGAAAAATTGCCTGTTGAAAATGATTTCTAGATGCATAGCTCTCTGTTTCGAGATGTATTTTTAAGGATCACTCCAGAAATAAAGTAGTGTCAAGCCTCCAAGAAACCGCCCCAACAATTCCCAACTTGTTTCATTTCATTGGAGGTCACTCTGGAGGAAGTCCGCTGGCCTAGTCGCGGTCTCCCGCACGTAGACACCGTCAGGGAGGACTTGCGTAATCCCATGTTCCTGACGCGATGAATAATCTGAGCTTCAAGACGATACAGATTTCCACTCATAATCTCGAGCTCTGCGTGTCTTTCCCCTTTAAACCTGCATTTATGGCTCACAGTCCCAGATTGCAGGCCCTCGTGTAATGTCAGGATTGGCTTCTGGTAATGTACACTTTCAGTGGGCAGGGGAAACCGTCCCCTCACAAAAATTTACCTTCAAGATAAATGTCCTTCTAAGGCGGATTTCGAAGAGCCAAATACATCGCACAAATAACAACCGATCGATGATAAGTAGGCTTGAAATGAAGTTGTAATTTAAATAAACCATCATTTCATTGGTTCTGTTGGATTTTTTAAATCTACATCTCGTTTCAAACTACGGAACAAGGTGTATTCCATAATCGCGCGCTCAACCATTTTTTGGGAAAAGCTCGTTTTTCGATGTTTCAGAATGTAACACTCACTGGGTCGATTATTCAAACAAAGTTTAGCCGTTGTTTAACAAAACCGCGTTCTACACTATCTTAAATTTAGCTGAATCTTTCATCTGAACACTTGTTTTAGTGAACAATGTCAAGCCGTGCCGAAAGCTCGCAGTGGTTGGACATTAATTTAATGAAAACCGCGGTTTGGGTTAGAATTCGTGTAAATAACTGTCCCTTTATGTTTTCATATTTATTTTGATCAAAGTTTTTCAGCGCTGCAAAGACATATTGACGATGTGATATTAAACTGACAGGCCATGGAGTTTTAAGTTTGTTTACTTGAAATCTCGTCCCATTTGGAAAATTTTATGGATCTTTAAATTGAAATTGAAATAAAAATTCTCAACCAATTCAGGAAGTCAGGAGACCTTAGAAACTTTGAACGCAGTCGATTTAAGGCTGAAGCAAAAAAAGTTACACTGACTAGCAAATGCGAGGCGAAATACGACTTACATTGTACTGAATACGAATCACGAAGTCTTAGTGATTTCGATCTACTTCATGTCACTTTGAAAGTCTGAATTCCAACTTAAATATGAGATATCTTGAATTCTAATCTTAATGATTGTTTCTTACTCGGAACTAGTTAGATCAAATGACCACCACAAACCGTATAATATCAAGCCAAGCTTTAATAGTTATTTGATCTAAAAGAAACAAATTTATAATTCGCAATCAGAACAAACGCAAATCAAGTCTTAATCTCGTAGCTAAATTATAAAACTTCAATGTAAACTTACTTCGGTGGCGAGTCGTTACAACAGTCTCACATTACAGGTTAGCAGATTCTCTAGGTAAGCGGATTTAGAAACAGAAAAATTGATAACAAAATAACTTCTTTCTCACTTCGATTCCGGTGAAAAACTGACTTGAAACATAATAATCTAACGCTTTTAAATCAATCTATGGAATTAATGTCAATCACAATTCTTGTGATTGAGTATATGTCAACAAGAGGCAATGCCTATTTGATAAACGAAACAATGATGGCATGCATACTCCCCCTTCCCCCCCCTACCTTAACCCCTCCTCGACCCACCCTCGAGAGTAACTTTCCGATGCTGTGACATTTTTTCCTCATTGTTGATTACTCATTTTAAAGTAGTAAAAAATAAAATCTCCAATAAAGAGAAGCATCGCTGAAAGTCCACAGACCTAAAACGAAAATAAACAAAGCCTGTTAGTCTTTATGTTTTCTTTTTTATAAGCAGCTGCGTGTAGCATTTCGAGAATATTTTAGCGAGAGATCAGATATATATCATGGTCCTGCTAACCTGAGGTAAGGTTAACGTATTAATACCAGACTTCAGCGAAAATGATCTGATGATCAGCGGCGTGGTGAGTGAGAAGGAGGGGCTGAGGGGCGGGGTGAGGAAGGCGGGTGAGAAGGAGGGGCTGAGGGGCCGTCCTGGTATTTTCAGGCAAAGTAGGTTCATTGGCCTATCACTGAAATACTTGACGGTGATATAATGTCAGAAATAGTTCTGTTTTCCCTCTCATTTACTTTGGTTTACCCGTTTGTTTGAGAGATATCACCTCAGTTAAATTTAACTTCGCAAAGACCACAATGGAAGAAGAAAGAAAATAACCTATTCAAGGGACTAACCGCTGACACCTGTAGGTGCCCACATGTTTGCCTCCCAATATGCCTCTGAGCTTGACAAAGGTTCATTTCCCCAAGCGGGGTGGGGTAATTAGAAAGGTGAGTAACTTCATTCAACAGTAAAGAGCTTGAAACGAGCAATAAAACGGCGCTAAAAATACTGATCCCCATATTCTGAAAAGAAGAAAAACAATTTTAAGTATCTGTGAGGTCAGAAAAGTACGTTTTTAGCTATCGATTGTCGAATCATTTAGCCGAAAAATAATTACGACAATGACACGAAATATTACAAACACGAAATTTACATGGCCTAAAACCATTCAACTTGTGATAAATGCGATTTATTGTATGATCAACAGGCAGTGGAAGAAACAGAAGTTGCATGTGCGAACCGTACGTTACAAAGCGGAGCGCCATGCAAATCAACCTGCAAGTAGGTGCCTGTAAACTGTGGCAAATCTGAGAAAACAGGATTGTAGCTGGTTTTTTGAGGCTCCCCAAGTCACACCAAGGGTACTTACCTCGCTGTCTCAGTGTCGACATTCACGCTGGCTTTTGCTTGAACGTCGTATAGACTATTCAGTGTTGTGCATTCTTGCCTTCTGAATTTTTGGTAGGTTTGCGTATTGTTTAGTTAAAAAACAAACAAACAAAAAACAAAATAAAACAAAACAAAAAAACAAGAACAAAAAAACCTGTCATCAAAGGGGGCGGGGTGGGATCAAGCGCTCCTCTACACCCACCTTAGCTACACCCCAACAAAAAAAGATTCTGTTAAGGGTCAGTGCAGCCTAAAAGAAATTCGAGTCTACAGAAGAATTGGTTAGCATCTACTCACCAGAATATTCCATTTTCTCCCGATTCTGTCGCTGAGCGACAACAAAGAAAATACAAAAATCAGTGTGACGAGCAACCAAAGGATGATGGTGGAGGTCATGAAGAACGAAAGTCTCTCCATGTGATCAGGCCGGGAAATCTCCATATCATCTCTTGATTTAAAGAAGTTATTGTAAAGAGATATTATTACAAACGCTGATAGCAGCAGGATCTGTAAAAGAGTCGTGCGTGCAAGTAAGCTGGTCAAATTCTTTCAACTATGATAGCTAAATAGTTTCATACTCTAAATTAATTTAATTCAAACAGAAATATGACTTCTCTGAGGGGGCAAAAAAACGCAACGACCGGAGTGGAGTACCATCTTAATTTTAAATTTTCTTTCAGGCTGCAATTACACAAAAGGGAAGAGATTTTAAAAGCTGAGAAAAAATGATTGAAATAAGTCAATGGTCGAAACTCAGAACTCAACACAGCCTAAAGGAGGTATTTTCCATCAGACCCCGATGTAAAAATTCCAGGGTCTAATTATTATTATAAGATGATTTCGAGATACTGGTATTTTACTGTAGAATATTAAAGGGGTATTAGCGAGGGAATACTTATGAGAAGTATGCTTTCTCTGTTATAGATGCTGTAGAGAAGCGAAAGGGCTTGGATCTCGTCGAGGGAACATCGCGCACAAAATGTGGTTTTTAATTGCCCCCACCATTCCCCCCTCCGTCGCATCTTTTCCAATTTATACCCCAAGGAGTAAAATATAGATATGTTTCCATTTAGCGATGACATAATTTTATGTAAATCATGTGAGAAAGAGAGTCATTCTCCAGACAATTAATTATTCTTAATGACTTACAAATTCTGCAATCTTAGAAACTCCAGCAGGGGATCTCAAATATTCCGAGGCTGACATTTCGCTTAGGATTATTTTTTTAACCTTAGACGCAACGGAGTTCTTGAATGAGGATCTCTGGAAAAATCTGCCTGAAATCAAATTGACGTAGTATCTAATACTTTTTTAGTAGAAGAAATGCTGTCCTAATCAAATCTAAACAGAACAGTTGCACTAATATTATTTATCATCAAACATTCTATCTCAGAAAAAAATGAAAGGTAAGAGTTAGCTATGAGAGAGCAATACGAGTGAAAGAAGAGTACTACGGAACAAGTTGTTACTTATGAAATACGAGGAACCACAGCAAATGGCGCGTGTTGGTAAGCACCAAGATCTTCTCGCCTCTGAGTAAATGAGTGATCTTACCTTAAAGTTAAGTTATTTTGTATCGCATACCTCTCACACGTGAACTCGTTTTTCCCGAGATGATTGAACAAAAAGCAAGCTTGATTTAGTTAATTTTTTTTAAAAATATCTACTTACATCTTTCTGAAACTGGACACGTTTACTAAGATAACGACTTAATTCAATGCGTCTCTCCACCGTCAGACTATTTTTCCAGCTATTACTATCATTCCCACAGAGAACCAGATCACATATGAAATTAATTCTGCTAATGTCATAGGACCTAACGAGCTTTTCATTCACATAAAACCAATAAATGAAGTGTCCCCCGCATTTAATGTTCTCAGATATTAATACTGATGACCCCTCGCATTTTTTCTTACTCAAAGTTCAAAGTAACGAATATAGTCAATGCTATTCCTACAGTTAACACTTACTGATGTTAATATAAGGTGGGCGGAGTATGTTCGAATAATTGACTTCCCCCCACATCACTTAGCTTGATATAATATCGACAACTTGACCATATCTTAGCTGCAACTACATCAGGGAAAACGGCAAGCACACTTCTAAAAACTTTATTTACGTAGTGTAATATACACAGCAAGTCTGGGATCTTGACGCAAATCTCTCTGTTCCTTGATGTTTCGGGTATGCTCTCACATATTGAAGCATATGCTCTGCACAAACAAACGTTTAAATTAATTTCAGGTGTTGATCTTTCGAAAATGTACTTAATGAGGTTGCAACATCAAAAGCCATCTACATAGTAGCCTAAAGATTTATTCGTTGCCAAGGCGATGTCCTTGGCCCCAACCTCCCCAACCACCACCGCCTCCACCGTTGTCTTGGTTGCGTGGCCTACGGCTTGCAGGGGGAACACCAAATCCACTTACACCTCCCTGGCGGTTTGGAAGAAGCTTGTACCTATAAAAAGGAACAGAAATGACAAACAAAATTATTTGAAACAAATTCTATTCAATCACATCTATGAATCATAGCACTGGTTTAATCAATAACCTCACTCCTCTGGCAAGAATATTACTTACTTATATAAAGGAACTATCGCTGGAAAGCATACAAATCGAGAGCAATGAGATAGTAAATCATCTATGCTACAATATATTTCAATCTAACCAAGTTAATTAAATAAAAAGTCGTGATAGTATCATAAGTACCCCTGATATGAGATCAAACCTTAGGAAACTACAGAATCTGATGAAAAAGTGAAGTATTTTGTATAAAAGTATCTATCAAGTAAAAGAGCCTCCATGTGATCATTCAAGGTAAAAATATAAGCCAACAAAGCAATGGAAAATGTACAATGGAAAATGTACAATTGAAAATGTACAATGTAAAATCAACCAGACTACATACAGTATGGATGGTGTAGAGAGAAATCGCTGTCCTCCAAAGTCTTGTGGGTATTTGAACATGAGGAAGAAGTAAAGGTGTCCCACAAAGATACCAATTAGCTCCATAATACCACTGCAATCAAAATAGATAAAACTTGTTTAGGATTTGAAATGAAGTTTGCACAAAGGCAGAGTGAGTTCTGATACATACCCTCCCTGAATGACCATGTTAAATACAGCTAACACCCATGGAAGGTACATTGCCTGAAACAAAATAAATTAAATTCAACAGTGCCCCATACAAGTCAACTTTATGCTGAGGGTGTCTGGCTCTTTCCAAATCTTTTTGAACATTTGAAATTTGTTGAAAAAGGAAAAACATACACGATCAGGGTATGTTGGAGAAGTTTCAGGGTTACTGTTTGAAAACCTAAATGGCAAGTTTTTCATGTACTAGTATATTTGAGATCTATTTTGTAACAATTTGAGAAACAAAAAGAAAAATAAATGCCTTGGAGATCATAACTTTAAACCACCATTATGATTATCTTTTTCATTCTTTGTCAAAATTAAAGATGGGTAATAAGTCTGAAGGATTCTGTTACAAAAGAAAATAGAAATCTATACCTTAAACTGCATGCCAAACCAGAACTGTACAATCGTATCTTTATTCACTTGACACCATACATAAAGGACACTTAAAACAAGTGGGTCCATGAGAAGCTAAAAAGCAAAAACAGACATTATGCTTTGGGACAACAAACAATACAATATGACAAATACAGGCATTGGAAAAAGGAGAATACTTGTGCTTCTACCCACAAATCACTTTCTACATTTCAATGAAATCATGTGTTTTTAAAAAAGGTGTAACCTGAGGGTTGTGTGTGTGCTTTGAAGCATAAAGTAGTGGAGCTGTGAAAAAGAGTGGTCACAAAACTGCACAATAAGCAGGTTATTTTAGATGTGCAAAAAATTTGCTCCTATCCACTATCCTCCAACCAAAACATTTCTCAATGAAAACCCTGTTTATCTAAATGTTACAAACCACTGAAGAACACTACAAATGATCATAATAAATGAGTATTGTGTGTTGTTCATAGAGGTTTTTCACACTATGAATATTTTTTTTTTTTGATTTATAAGGATTGAGGAAAAGTTTAAAAATATTGCAAACATTTGAACAGGACTTAATATTGATGTTCCTTACAGGGTATTCAATGATTGTAACCATGGATACATCTTTTAGTTTAAACTGTTTTCAGGTTAAACAAGTGTATAACTTACCCTCAAAGGCATAAGAAATCCTATGATCTTTTGTTAGTTATGAAGACAAGTCAAGGAACACTTCAACCCAGTAAACAAACATTACAATATTAACACAAAATAGCTTTTTATACCCAATTTCTAAATATCAACCATGCAAGAGAGAATAGGAAGAACTCTAGCTAAGGTCAAAGTAATGATTACATCACAAATAAACCTTTGCTTTAACTTAATTTTCTATATTAAATTCTTAGGAATTTGTATTTTCTTCTTTGTTGTTTTTCTTCCATGTCATTTCTTAACAAAGATACAATTAAAATGATCCCATTGAAGAGCATCATAAACAAGTAATCAGCTGGCCGACCATCAAACAGGCCTGCAAGGAAAAAGAAAAAATGCTTAAGAAGTAATAACATTAGATTCACATCAAGCACTGATCTACAACTTCAATGTGAGGCAGTAAGATCATGAGAAGTTAAAACACAGTTCTGTACAAGTTTATCATTGATGCAAGATACACCACAATATGGTTAATGCTCAAATGTGTCTGCAGAAGGGATGAGGGGGTTAAAAAGCTTCTGGGCTTTGATGTATAGGCTTCTTAGAAAAGGAGGTTTAGGTAGTTAAAATTCATAAGGAGACAAAATTTGACTAGTTTTTATGTGCTTAATATCATTGTCGCTCAGATATCATTAGCATCATACACAGTATGCATTTCCTAAAATGGAAATCTATATGCAGGACTAAGATTTATTACAGAATATTCTGTAACAAATGCAAACTCTCCTACATCAGTGACAGTTTGACACAAGGCAGAGGAAGTGTAAGGGTTCTGAACAAGGGAGCTCAGTTGAGAGTGTTATTTATTCACATTCCCATACTTTCTCATTCTTGAGCAATGTAATAAATCATGATTATTTGATAAAGGAAAAGTGATAAGAAAGAAAAATGGCTTAGAACATATATATTTTAAGCAATAATCTAAACTAATATTGCAGATTATTTTAAATTTTCATACTAGATATTCTAGGTTAAACCAAATACCCTAATTAAACTAGCAGTTATCCACAGTCTCCACTGTAAATCAAACACTCTCTGGTCACCCCTGTTATTTCTTTGGCCAAGTAGTTTAAGTTAATTTCCCTACCTTAAGCAGATTTTACCTGGCTATTTCACACTTGTTTAAAACTTTCCATAATCTTAACACTTATGAATTATATTTCTCACATTTCAACCAAAACTGAATGTGAGTCAACAAAGTTCAATTAAATTTTTTAGGAATTCAAGATTCTGCATAAACCAGCTTTTTCATTATTTACTTGATAGAGTGAAAAAAAATAATTCACCTGTTTCAAGTCTTGTAGAGTATGAATACAGGAAGTATATATTAATCAAATAATGAAATCCAGTCTGAGGTGAAATAGGGTAGTATACAAATGATGTGACCAATCTCCATATCTGGAATGAAAATTAGAAGGGATCTGTAAGAATTAGTGTCTCCCTTTGAAATGCTCCATTCAAAAAGTAGATTACATTTTGCTGTCCCTCTGTTCAGTAATAAATCACATATGACGTCAAAATATGTAATCAACAAAAAAAGGCAAAGGAAGCACAGCCAGGTGTGTTACTGATGGTCTTACAACAGTGCTAATGTACCCTTCATATGACATATGTTGCAAGGGCAGTCAACAAGTAGACTCTATTCAATCTTTGACAAATTGTACCATTTAAACCCACTAAATATTACATGAACTCACACCAGCTGCAACACATGGTAGGGATTAAAAAAATGTTTCCCTCCAACAGATATCAATGGGAAAACCAGGCAAATTGCACTAACAAATTAAAGTAACATAATTTCCCAACACTATCTCTGGAGTATGCTGAATCTTGTAGCTGTATCAAAATCAACTGATCGTCACAGTGATAAGTAGACTTCCTACCCAAGTGAAGCTACACTTTGCAGAAAAATTAAGCCCATCCGCCATTTATGTCTTATTCTAAAAGCTTTTGTCTTCAACTTCCGGCTAATAACTATTGATCATATATAGAAAGAGAAAAAACTAAGTTGCCAAAAATTGATTACTATGACAACAACCATCAAAAAATAGGTTGAGTGCGAATGGTTCATTCTTCATACGATACGAATTAATTAAGAAATTTACGGAGCAGTTAATTAGATTTTCTTCGATTTTTCATATCGCCCCTTTAAATGTCATTACAACTGAGTACTGTATCTACACCTGTATGCTAAATAAATCTTCGCAACTAATATTTTTTATTTCTCTTCAATACCATTGTCTAACGTTCGTATGACTGCTTTCATATAACACACTGGCTTACCTGGAAACGGTGTACTACGCTTGCATAGTCCAGCATCATGTGAAAGCCATTTATGAGTCCTAACCTTCCAAGAAGGGGAAATACGATGGACAGAGAGAACCACCATCTTGTCACAATAGGTATACCTCGAAACCACGTTCCAAGTTCATTCTCTGCCATTCTTTCACGTAATAAAATATCCTTGAATTTTAGCCTATGGCAAGTTAATCACTAAAAGCGGATTGAAAATCGTCCAAAAATTATCGCAAAAGTCCTGATATAGCAAATTTCAAACAAAACAGACGTGGCGAAGAGTTACAGCACCGGAAGCGTTTTAGTGCATTGTGGGACATCTAGTGACAAGGCTTACGCGGTCGAGAAGGAACTGAAGGGCCGGTCGAACTAGCTAGGCGACAAAAAGTGGTAAGCTCGGCCGAATTTCGGGAAGGATTTTGCTTTAACAAATTTTGTGCACTGGAAAGTGACAATCTTATCTTTATGCTGAAAACGTCAATCAAATTGTTTGCTCTCTTTAAATATTCATTTCAGCGACGCGCGTTAAATTAAAGATCCGAGGTCATAACATCGGGCATCTTGCGCAGAAAGAAATTTAAAAAATACACAGAGATGGTTCTTCCAAGAAACATGTTTCTGATGGTTTGCAGTTTTCCTTGCGTTGCAATTGAATATCGCTCAAGGACAACTGCTAATTCTAACGTTGCTTTGCTACTGGAAAATTCACCTTCTTACAATGAAGGTGTTTTTAATGCTACAGATGAATCATAGAAATGCATTATGACGTCGCCGTCGATTTCGTCCATACTGGGTGCTTCCCCGACCAGCTGGATCTTGGTTCAAGATTAATTTCAACTGCAGAATTATATCAGAGAGCATTTTTTTTATCGTCAATTGAAAATGAACGAAATACATTCGATCGCCTCTTAGTAATCTTACGTCCTTTTCTTCAAAGGGAAGATACAAAAAAGAAACTGTATCAAACCAGAAAGTTCTTTCAATTGGAATTTATCGCCTATCGCACGGAGAATCATTTGAAAGCGCCGGTGTTGCTATGAATGTTGGAAAAACAAAAGAAATTGAAGCATTCATGGACGTCGTGGATGGGCTGTGTGAACTAAGGAACGACTACATTAAGTTTCCCACCACAGTGGCAGAAACAACAGCAGCATCTATAGCAACGTTCACGCCCCTTTCCAACCTTCCGAATATAGCTGGTGCAATTGACGGCACCCACATCAAAATCAAAGTACCAAAGGATAGTGCAGTCGATTATTTTAGCCGTTACCAACATGATGTTGTCGTGCAGTTGTCAACGGAAAAAGGGCTTTCATGGATGTTGCAGCTGGGTTTCCGGGAGCATGTATGATGCTTGAGCTCTTAGAAATAGCATAATTTACGAGAAAGCAGAGCATGGAGACATTCTTGATGCAGGACCAACAACTAGAGTCGATGGAAGCGAAATACAACCTTATTTAGTGAGCGATAGCGCCTATCCTCTTTCTCCGTGGCTTCAGAAACCCCTTCCTGAAGGTACCAGAGATCCGGATGAGATTCGGATTAACCAGGAGCTATCACCAGAGCGAGTGCAAGTCGAGTGTGCATTCGGAATTTTGAAAAGTAGATGGAGAATCCTTATGTGTATGGAAGAGTGCAGAGCTTAGCTAATTTCGAACATCATTTTGGTGTGTGCAGTTGTACATAGCTGTTGTATATTATTTGGAGATGAGTGGGAGGAAGAGGATGAAAACAATGATCATGATCAAAGAGATAACGATGAAATTCCTTTAGATGGGGACAACATCAGAGAGATTCTTGAGGCCTACTTGAGTTCCATTTCATATGGTATCCAAAAGAATGCGTTTTAATTACATTACTATGAAGATCTGTTTAAAATCTCTCGGCCTTGAAATTTTTTATAATAATTATATAGCTATAGCTAAAAGTTCATGTGTTCTCAAAGATCATTTTCAGAATGTCTAGCAACATTATGTTCAATCACTGCGATACTCCTCGATTGTCAAAAATTACAGTCAAAAGTGATATTAATTAAGAATGTATTAGATCCTTTGTATTAAAAAAAACTTTCAGTATAATCAAAACTTTAGCAAGGAAAGCGAGCAAAATTTTCTCTGTTCACGCTAGATGATCTTAATGCAAGAACTCTTCAGTTTGGCGCGCTTTTGAAATGAACATGATACATGTACGCGCGTTAATGGAGTATGGAAGGTGTGAATGAATTTTGTGACACTAAACACAAACGTGCGATATCATCGCCTGACAAAAAATTGGCGAGCTCCGAGGGCTCGCCGATTTTTTGTAGCGGCTTCTTTGAACTTAAGTAGAGTGGGACAAAATTTTGTCCAGGTGAAACACGCCGGTCGCACACGTCTACAATACGCGTTAACAGAATTTTTTGCAAAGTAAACAAAAAAATCTGCCCAGTGCCTTATATATCTGATTAGACGTTTTGGCTTGTGGGTATTTCGTAGGTACAGGAGCACACACATGGCGGCCACGTAAGCAAAGTAGTGTTGAAAAGCGAGGACCACCATGGTCAAGTATTTTTGCTGCTCAGCCTTCAGTACAAATTACCTTCTGAACGCGTAACGTAAACGGGGGACCGGTCAAGTTTTTTTGTTTGCCCCGGGACCCTTAAATCGAGCTGCTTACATTAGAATTCTTTGGAATTCTGATGTAAACGGGAGCATTGGATGCAGAAATACACGTACTGTATTGCCTGAAAACCCTGTCCCAGCCTCCCAATAAGTCAATTAATTACCTATGTTTTCGCTGTCAAGACTGGATACGGCCGCCGAAGAGGCTTGGGTCTATGGTTAATTTTCTCTCTACAGCGGGTGGTATGGTCAATTTATGAACATCACTTACCCCATTCCCACAGTGACACTCTGTTTTGCTCCATTTCGGCGAGGATTTTCATTATGTTCGCGGAGCTTTAATTTCGGGATTTTTTTTATAATCGCAAAGAAAGTGAAACCAAGTACCGGCGAATTTAAGTACGAGTAAAGTACTAGCATTTTGATAGCAGCTCTTTTGATGAACGTTATTATATTCGCATAATATACACAATGTTTCTGAAATTTTAATTTATAACACAACAAAATGGAAACTTTTTCGTTTTACCTGTATTTCAGAGCGAGTTTAGACCTTGATGAAGGATTTTAGCTTGTTTAGAATACTGTGGTTACTCGAAAACATCGCTGAAGGCTAGTGCCTCATTTGTTACCAAAACAATACAAGCTGTTTACCGCAGACTATTTGCAAGTAAAATAACTTGGCTAAAGATAACACGCCGTTTGATTTTTGTTTAAGTGTTCAAAATTAAAATAGTAACAGCTTGTCTATTTTTAGTACGAACGGTGTTAAACACGAATTTTATCCGTCGAGTTTACTCTTTTACTGTAAACACCCTGCCTCTTTGACGAATTTCTGATGAACAATAGAAGACAAATGAATAAGTGAATTGAAAACACAAAACAATCTTCTCAAAGTATTTTTTGGCAAACAATAATTTACGAGTTTGATAATATTACAGCACTTGAATTCGTCAAGCTCTGGCCAAGATCAAAAGTTATCGTTGATTTTAAAATACTTAATCAGTAACTGCTGGCTGGAGACAGATTTCACTCGTTTTAGATTGATTTGGTGTTTGGGAAACGAGATCAAAGGGTCCAAAGTCTCGTACGTTTAAGTTCTTGCAAGAGTTCATAGTCCTCTTATTCAAATAAACGTCCGCTTATAAAGGGTGGGGAAGGTGAGGAAAAGAATTTAATCTCAATCAGGAAGCAGGAAGGAAGCATTCCTTGATATCTCCATTATAACATACGTATTGGTTGTCATTTTTGGCACAGCTTCATGGATTGCCATCAACGGGCTCTGGGTCGAATTACCTATCATTGTCCAAGAAATTCCTGAAAGCTGGTCTCTTCCATCCTACCTGACAGTGATAATCCAACTGGCAAACATAGCTCCGTTAGCTTTTACACTTGGGAACAAGTTTTATCCTCGCATGGTCCACGAGATTCCCGTCATATACATCAGCCTGTTTATTGGCACGGTTTCCTGTGTTCTGTTGGTATTTTTTTGGAAAGAAACGTCCTTCATCGCCGGAGCTGAAAGAAGCACAGCGTTGTTAGTCCTCTGTTTCTTCCTTTCTGTAGTTGATTGTACATCGTCTGTGACGTTCCTACCATACATGGCAATCTTTCGAGAAGTCTACATGAGCCCATATTTCCTTGGGGAAGGTTTAAGTGGTCTGATACCCAGTCTGGTGGCATTGGGGCAGGGTGTGGGCGGGGGGTCTCATACCCCTTGCCCCAGTGAGAGCCCCACACAGGCTCCCGTGAACACCACAAATGGAACCTCCAACATCACCGACTCTAGCAGCTGGGGACCCGGCCCAAAATTTCCCGCTGAAGGATTTTTCTGGTTCCTGGCTGGGATGATGTTGGCATCTGGGTTGGCCTTTTTGGGATTGAATTATCTCTCTGTGGCGAAACGACAGCAAGTGAAGACGATTTACGAAGTTTCTCCCGACGGAGGCCAGCGTTCCACCTTAGAGCTTGTCTCTTATGAGCAGGGCAGCTCACCAGGCTCAAATCCACTATCTAATCAAGGTTCCATTGATCCTGACAAGACGACCACGAAAGATTCCATATTCCTTATGGCTATCTTAGCTGTTGTCAGTGGCCTGAGTAATGGTGTGATACCAGCTATTCAGTCATATGCCTGTATTCCTTACAGCTACTACATCTATCATTTGACTCTCACCCTGTCCAACATTGCCAATCCAGTCACCTGTTTTGTGTTTCCATTCATCCGCACTACTTCAACACTGATCATAGCAGTGCTGAGTTGTGTCTACTTTGGAATGTGTACCTACATTCTCATCGTTGCATCACAAAGTCCAAATGTGCTGTTGCGCTGTAACGATTCTGGCGCTGTTTTGATTGTAAGTATATCCTCCGATGAAGTAATTAACCAATTCCTTTTCGGTTAACTTTGATATGAGCAAATGCAATGAAATAATCATCGCACCAAGCTGGTTAAGTACTGCCTGATTACCTAACACCGAAAACTGACTGAAGATCCCGAAAATTTTTTGAGAAATCTTGTAGGCTCCTGGGTAACGTCTTTGGACCATGTAGGTGTTTCGTATGCATAATTGCCCTGAGGCCTAGGATTCTTAGCGATTCTTTCTCAGAGTTTCGAACTTTCGCTAAGCTGTGCGAAACGTAGGGACGAACGAGCTTAATGTTAAGCTTTCGCTAAATGGCCTACATTTGACATGTTGAAAGCAGTGAATGACATTTAACAAGACCAGTTTTGCGGCAGCTTCTTTTATTTGCCTTTGCTATCGATCGTTATTTGCCTTTGCAATCATCGTTGCCTGAGTTTTCCTCGAGGAGCCCCAGGGAGAGAAACATCGCCAGAAATAAAGGACATTTCGAGCCCGCTAACAATTATCAGCGGTATATCGTATTACACTCCGGAACAATAGAATAGAATTGAGTCAACATGCCGGCGATTACGGCTCGATCTGCAAAGAAGAGTGTTTCGTACCATGACTTGTACAATTTGAGCACCGCAGATCTTCTATTTGATGAAAAGAAAAAGGAAAGAAGACCTGCAAGTAAATCTTTGGGATTTTTCGAGGCAGAGCGATGACATGATGTCAGAATTTTGATTTGCTTTAATTTAATTTTCGCGCTAAGACTACTAAATTTGCATTCAATGCCTGGCATATCTTTATTCCGAAAAGGACCGAGAACTAATTTATTTCCCTGCAAGAACATAAACAAGTATGGCCGACGATGATCAGCGTTGCTCGTGTTTAACTATTTCAGTCATAGTTTTCAACATGGCGTCTCGTCACTTACTCAACATGGAAATTTGTATCTATGAATATGTATCTCCTTTTTTTTTAAGGTCTTCATCAGTGTCAGTGCAGTTTCTGTGGTAACTTACATCAAAGTTGCTATTGGAGGAATAATGCGAGAGAAAGGACGCAGGCATTTGTTGTGGTATGGCGTAAGTGAACAGATTGGTTCATGTGTGGGAGCATTAGCCATGTTTGCTCCCGTAAACATCTACCATTACTTTAAACAAGAGTGAAAGTATTCCCGTAAAAACACTGTATAGCTTTGAACGTGAAGAGAGCTTTGTCTTGTGCTTCAGGTCTCCAGAGATTTAAAGGACAATTTTATGCATAGATGTTACCGCATGTTTTTTAACCAGCATGGCATACAGCATCGAAAGGTCACAAATTAGATTCTCGCCGCTATTTAGGAAGAGAATTCGTTTCGTTGTTTAGAAACTCTGCAAAGGCAACGTGAGAGAAGTTTTCTTTTTCTTTTTCCTTTTTCTTTTTTTTTTTAAATTTCATTAAAGGAATAAGAATGGTCACTTCCTCTCAGGCTGGTAGAAGTCAAGTTGGGGTTTCAAATCAGGTTTCTTTATCAACTGGTGAGAACGAGTCGGTGAAGACTCTTAAGGCTGTGACGTAAAGTCATTGAAGCTCTTTGCTCCTTACCAAAGGATTTACGGTTCAGACTCTCCGTTGGTTAGGTGAATCGAAGTTCTATAGATAGGTTAAAAATCTTACGTGAAAGCTTCTAAGAAGAAAAAACTTAAACTGGCGAGTTTTATTTCAAGGGAAGCTATTGTTAAGTCTTACAGACTTTTCAATTTTTTTTAGACTTTTTAGATTATTGGACTACTCAGCTTAAGTGCACTCTTTAATAGGATAGCTTTTTTGCTTTAAGTGCAGCCGGAGTATTCTGAGATCCTCTAAAATTGGTAAGACAGCTTGGATTTCAAAGCAAATAATAATGTGTGATTATAAGCAATTATTCACTCATATATTACAGAAAGAAATGAATCTAACCATCCGGCCAATCAACAAATTCAAAGTAGATAAAAAAGGTTTTAGGAAGACTCAGTGCAATACAATTCATTTGTAACCTGGGAGACTACATTCTTTTGAGCGATAATGTCTATGTACAAACGCTCGCCACCATCTTAATCCAGCAACGAACAAGTGAAGAGCTCTTGGATTTGGAAATATTTTCTGACTCGTGCTGTATTGGATGACGTGAGCACGGGTATCCAGACTTCTCTCTTTCAAGTCCCCAGAGAAGTTAATAATACCTTTATCTGAAATAGTATTCTTTGCTGTGAATACATTGTTTCAATTATAAGTGTGCCTGCATTAGCTGTAGAACCGATCTTGTTTCTATTAAAATTCAGAGCTAAAAAATGAATCCAAGTCTTATATATTACCACGCTAGGAGGACCCTGGAAATTGTGTTTTTGAATAACGAGTTGATTCTCTGAGAAGCATACAAACCGGATTAATACGAGACTTCTTGAAGGTTTGGGTAAAGGGACATTTCCCTATATAGAGTACCATAGTCAAAGTTACTAGAATTGTTTCCAAGAAATTCTGGTGATTAAATAACTTCTGTCATGCCAATAATTTCTTCGTTAGTGATTGATAGGCATGACAAGTACAGGAGGTTAGGTGCTCCCTAAATGCCGCCAAATGTAGTATGGGCCTGCAAGGTCTCGAGTCCTAAGCATGGAAGACATATTTACTATTATGACTTTCTTGAGCAGGATGTCCTTGGGGGCCAAAGGCGTCATGTACTATGGTAAGAACGTCAGTAATGCACGACTTATATGTTTATTATTGGTTGTTCAATTCCAATTCAAAATATTCTATTAGACTATGCTGGACATGCCTTGGGGGGGGTGGTGTTGGGGGAATTAACAGGACAGAATCTGTGATCTGTTTGTTTTGAACAAGTTAGCAAAATGAATTGATTTTGCTCTAAACAGGATTCTCAGGCTTTTTGGACACAACCCTACCTAATATTTTTCCCAGTGAACCCTCTCAGAAACAGTTAGTTCATTCATATACAGGGAGGAATCCTAGAAACTCCCTGTCATGTATACAGAGAGGTAAGGTCAGATTAGAAGCAAACTGCCCCACTCTACCAGAGCTTGTCCAGGATCCAGTTGCTTAGGGGGACAAGTAATATGCCCCCCCCCCCCCCACATTTGACACAATGCCAATCCATTGCTTGGTTAACATGCTTCTCTAGCAATCATATACTCTTGGGTGGACAAAGGCACATTGCAAGTAAAGGGGCTTTCCCCAAGAAAACACCATGGATATAGCAATGTTTTAGTCAAGGAAAGGTGGGTGACACAGGATGCCAGGCTGTACACTTACTGCAAAACTTTGAAATTGTGGTTTTCGAAAAAATACCAAGTACAATAACTGTAAATCTCTGAAGGTGGTTTGGGGATGATAAAACAATTATGAATTCTCGTTGACAACAGCCATAAATATGACTACATCCATCCAAACTGGGAATGTTTAAATTTCTCTTCAATTTTTCTCACCCTTAGTAGGATCACAACAATAAGAATGCAACAATTCACCTGACAAACAACTTATCTTTCCCCATAAGCAGTGAAAGAGCTCCTTAAAACTTACAACTTTCTTATAAATATAATTAGGTTAGAATTTAACATCTACATAACAGGAATACAATTTTGAAATTGGTTTATTAATGACAAGAATTAGGTGGATTCTTGTTTTAACCTAATAACTTAAATTTATCTTAGTTTTCTCTAAATTAATTGTGGCTCAAAGCTCCAGTCACCATCAGGCTACCTAAAATCATAAACTGGTCACTGGAATTAACATTCAGTTGTTTAAAAAAGAAGCAAGAAACAAAATAAAGAAATTAAAATTTTAAGCAAAGATACACAAAATTTTATGGCATCTTCTCTTTGGACATTTTAACACTCAAAAATTAATATGTTACAACTTGTTACCTGAGTACTGAGCAATTTAGACCACAAAACTTTAAATTTTTTCTGTGTATCCCATCACAACCAAAATTTTTATGGCATTGAGGCCTGCAATTAGGTGTAATGCATTGAAAAGAAAACAACAACAACAACACAAAAAGAAGCATCCAAAACCTGTTAAACTCTAAAAATCGATGAAGTGTACAGAAACACAAGGAACAATTTGAAGAATTGTCATAACATTGCTTTAAGTGAAAAGAAATCTTTTACTTTTAATGTCCCATATATTAATTTCTTGGAGAAAACATGCATCTATTTTCGTTCAGTACATCTCATGCTTGCTTAAAGAAATGGAAAACATTTACTGGAGCGAAGATTGCCAGAGCACCAGCACAAGACCCAGCTTGAACACTAACACCATACCACAAGAGGTGCTTACGACCTTTCTCACGCATGATTCCTCCAATAGCAACCTTGACATATGTTACCACAGCAACAGCACTAACGCTGATGAAAACCTTCCAAAGAAAAAGAACAAAATGTGTAAATAAAATGAATAAATCAGTGTAAGCCTTGACATAATAACCTTTAAATGTGTTAATTAAATACTATTTCCCCTATAGTAAGAAACAATTGAGGCTCAGTCTTTTACACTATCAAATTTAAATGTGTGATGCACAGTTTATCATAGTGCATAAGATTTTAACTCCAATTGCCATTGTGTAAAGTATTTAAGTAGGAGATATTGGTATTACTAATAAAAAGAAAAGACATTAAAGCCAGGCACTCAGAGGTCACTAGGCAACCAAGACACATACAGACATTTTGTGCCTGAATATTTGCCAGTTCAGGAACATAATTTTAAAGCCAAAAAGTTGGTTTGGATCTTTTATTCACTGTCCTTTTTCTCAAATATTCGATCAAAAATAATTTGAAAACAGAATGGATTTTAAAATGCCACATGTGCCCCAGAAACACAAATTTCACACTAAGATTGCTACCATAGAAAAAATAATTAAAATAATTAAACCACAGTTTTATGCCATAATTGACCACTTAATGAACAAATATACATTACTCTGGGAGATAAACATGGCTCAAATTTTACTTGAAAGATTATTCTAAGTTTTATTTGAGAGATTCAGTTTTAAGTGACTGTTGAAAACAGTTGGAGGAAAATACAAACAGGCTGTTGGGGCTCAGAAAGGGTGACCATGACCATTCCATAGAGGTGACTGCTTAATAAAAGTAAAAGTTACAGTGTTTATGGGGAAAAAATTTTGCAACTTTGAAAACTGACTGCATAATACATGGTGACCACTTAGTATGGTGCTACTTAATGCAGGTTTGATTGTAGTGAATAAATCTAACTTAACACTGAAACAATGTATTATGTACTCACTATCAAGGCAGCCCCAGAATCTCCACATCGTAGTAGCACATTTGGACTCTGTGATGCCACGATGAGAATGTACGTACACATTCCAAAATAAATACAACTCAGCACTGCTATGATCACTGTTGAGGTAGTGCGGATAAATGGAAACACAAAACAGGTGACTGGATTGGCAATGTTGGACAGGGTGAGGGTCAAATGATAGATGTAGTAGCTGTAAGGAATACAGGCATATGACTGGATGGCAGGTATCACACCATTACTCAGGCCACTGACTAATGCTAAAATCACCAAGAGGAACACAGTGCCACTTGTTGACAAACTTTCCACTGCATGATCTTCATTGTCATGGGAATTTTGCCTGCTGTCCTTTTGCTCATTGTCTGCAACAAGTTCGATGGTTTGGTCATTACTCTGAGCCTCTTGGCCATTTTCATCATAGTTCTTCTTCACTTGCTGCCGTTTTGCTAAAGGAAGGTAATTCAACCCTAGAAAGGCCAACCCAGAAGCTAACATCATCCCAGCCAGGAACCAGAAAAACCCCTCTGCAGGGAAGTTTGGACCAGGTCCCCTGCCACCAGGGTCGGTATTGTTGGCTGAAGTTCCATTAGTGGCATTCAGAGGAGCCTGTGTAGGGCTCTCAGTGGGACAAGAGGTATGGGTGCCTCCTCCCACGCCCTGTCCTAATGCCACTAGGCTCGGCAAAAGACCACTCAGTCCTTCACCTCCGAAATATGGGCTCATGTAAACCTCTCGAAAGATTGCCATGTATGGTAGGAACGTAACAGACGAGGTACAATCAACCATGGAAAGAAAGAAACACAATGCTAAGAGTGTAGTGCTTCGTTCAGCTCCGGCGATGTAGGACGTTTCCTTCCAAAAAAATGCCAACAAAACACAGGACGCCGCGCCAATTCCCAAGCTGACATAAATGACGGGAATCTCGTGGACCACACGAGGGAAGAACTTGTTTCCAAGGGTAAAAGCTAAAGGAGCTATGTTTGCCATTTGGATTATAACAGTCAGGTAGGATGGGAGAGACCAGCTTTCAGGAATTTCTTGGACAATGATGGGTAACTCGACCCAAAGTCCGTTCACCGCTATCCACGAGCCTGTACCAAAAATTACCACTAGTACGTATGTGATCACAGAGACGCTAGTGAAAGCTCTCTTGATCCGCTTCATTACGTTTTCCAAGGCCATTTTGGTGTTACAAATGTGATTGTCTATTCCCTGTGCCTTCTGTGTTGATTTTCTGTAAAAGAAGTGTCACGACCAATACAAATATTGATTCTTAAATGAAAAATTCAATCACTTCAGTTGACACTGTGACTCACAGATGACTGAAACGCACATGGTTAATATCAAATGCCAGCGAAAGTTAGGAAAGCGATCCCTGTCGGGGAGGGGGAGAGGTTGCATTCCAGAGAGAAAAGTAGTAGACTACTATTCATCACTTCAACTTCAACGGACTTACTTTTTCGACTAAAATAGGAAAATTGATGGGAAAGTCCCAAAATAGACTTATAGTCTTTCTTCTAGATATAATAGTTTGGTCTCTCTCTGTTCCCGGATGGGACACTCTGAACTGCAGGCGCGTTTACAGCGGACTTAGCTGGAAGAGTAAGATTCTGCATATAGTGAACACGAAAAACATACCGTTCGTAGCGCCACTGGTAGCGTTGCATCATGGTCGTTAAACGAGAAGTAAGTTCATTTGAATATCTCTGGTAGCAGCAAGATAGTGTGAATAAATAAACACGGAATTTAATGGGGATTCACTGTCTGTTGCCGCTCCTTCGAGAGTTAAAAAGTGTTTGCGGGCCTGTGCGACTCCTGTTATTTCTCCTTGGCGAATTCGTTGTTAGGAGGCAACTGGAGAGATTCAGAAATAATCGAAACTGCAGCCTTGTTTAAGAATCTTCATTTAGCAGTAGTTACACTCTTAGCCGATGGCCGTGTGAATAATTTAAATTCGCGAGTTATTTAACGGGTATTCGACCCTTGACATGCAAACGCATTACAAAGAGACAGCCACCTTCTAATGCACGAACTATATCTCATGTAATACACTTTAAAGGCGTAAATACGGGATTCGCGAAAGGAGAAGCCCTTACGCCTCTTAAGACCAAATTCGTCACGCTCCACGTTAATAAAAAAAACGTACAGAGTTTAAAATATGCTTAAAGAATAAAGGATACCTAGAATAAGGTTTTGAGAAACGTATCTCTGGATTAACATTCTGGGAGAGAGACAGTATACTTTAAAACAAGAAAATACACATGAAAATATTAACTTCTGTAACACAATCTCATCCAGCTTTGCCAAACCTCAAGAACATTCAGACAGGAAAATAACACCTTAAGGGCATTTTTAGTAATCAAGAGAGGGCATGATTACCTGTTAATGATTGGCTAATCCGTTGCATAGCAACCGTTCGTTATCTTGAAATTTGTTAAAAATAGACTGCGCGCGTGATTTTCCTTCGTATAAATTTTGCCCTTTATTGATAAACAAGTAATCCCATGAGACCTCGTACTATTAAGGATTAATTGCACTTGAGTTTTCAAAATTTTCCAAATTGCCCTCGTCGCTTCTCGACTCGGGCAATTTTGGAAAATTTTGAAAACTCTCGTGCAATTAATCCTTAATAGTACTTGGCCTCATGTGATTACATATACAAATGAAACTGAATGCAGCAGTTTGTTCGCACCTAATTCTTGCGTACACCGTGCGACTTGCTATAATAAATGCGGTAGAATTGGAAAGAAATGGCTGTTTTTCTTTACCTTTATTGAGGAATGTTGTGTTGTGATTGAAAAAAACATCGACGAAAAGCTTGCGAATAGGATTAATTACCAAATATGAGACAAACGATGCTTAAAGGGAAAGTTTCTTAGGGGGTCCGAATCTCCAAATCAAGTGCATCACT